ATGACACTTTGATTTAAATCAAAATTCTTTAAGATATTTGACAAAAATATTGTTTTATAAAATGTTTATTTAAAAATTTGTTTTTTGAATATTAATTTTTAAATTATAATAAAATATTTGTTTGATTTAAACATTATTAATAATTATTTGATTGGTTGGGGTTTGGGTTGGGTGTGCTGCGCCAACAAGAATTAACATTAAAGTAAATCTATGATAACATTTGTGATTTTATATCACTGATAATATCACAATCAGTGATAATATCACTGATAATAGTACACTAGCACTGCCCTAGATCGTGTTTAGATGCTAGTTTACTTTGTAAACTTGTATGAGTTGAGTCTTGAGGGCAGTTCTACAATTATTGTACAATTATAATATAGAATTTGTTATGAATTCATAAACTTCCTACTTTTCGATTAATACTTACCTCTAATTTACAACAAAATTATATTTAAAAAAGTAGGAATTGAATCAAAAATTCAAATAACCTGAACTTATTTCGTCTTAATATACTTTTTTGGACTCGAGTTCGTGTATTCGAGACCTCTTTTGCCGCAAATTTTGGCACTTTTTGCGGTTTCCATAGTTTTGAACACTTCTGTCGGTAAATAGTTTTCCAGTTCTTTCCAATTCACGCGTTTTGTGTCACAAGTCATCTCTGGTTTGAAGAAGTTTCCCGATTTGCCCACATTTGTCACCATTTGAACAAAACTCTGGAAATCACGCGTGAGATCGACGTTAATTCCTTGACCTTTATTGAACTCAATGCCAATGAACCACATTATCGTTTGGGTCTTCGCATTGTCTTTAGGCGCGCAAACAGTACGCGACCGGAGGACGAGTGAAGTATGAGTGCGACTACCAGTGAAACACTTGGGGTTCACGTGAGCTAATCGTATACATGTGTGGCGTTCGAGCTTTTGGACGAGAATACGGATCTTAGACTCGACTAAACCCATCCATTGGGCGTCCGGTGAGACGAGAAGAACAATAAAATGTTCGTATTTTATGAAGAAATTCTCGTCCGATTCGAAGAGTGAATCCCACGGGACGTCACCTAAAATGAAGAGCAATAGAGTTAGTGATGCGAAGAAAGGATTAAAAAGGAGAGAAAGAACCGCTAATAATGTTGTTAATGATTTGTGAGCCGCGAATCAATTCATTAATTATAATAGTTTTTGTCGATTTCGAGACATTATAAGTGGAGTTTCGTTGCGGATATGAAGGCGTGATTATCGGCATTAAATGGTGTNAAAAAGGAGAGAAAGAACCGCTAATAATGTTGTTAATGATTTGTGAGCCGCGAATCAATTCATTAATTATAATAGTTTTTGTCGATTTCGAGACATTATAAGTGGAGTTTCGTTGCGGATATGAAGGCGTGATTATCGGCATTAAATGGTGTCTATCCCTCCCATTCTTCTGCGGATCCCAAACAGTAAATCCGAGACTCGGATCGTCATCGCTGTTGCGACGAAGAAGGACCGGCTTAGACCACTCCCACTGGCGGAACAACTCGAAGAACTTCTGGAGTAATGTGGCCGCCGATGCGCGCGGATAGAGCTGACACGTGTGCGCGACCAACAGTGTCCACGACGCGCCTCCTAAGTAAAGATTGATCAATGAATACAAGGTTTATAAGAGATTTCAATTCAAACCAAAAAATCCCAAAACATTTGAATAAATTCCTCGTCTTTTTGCCCACAATTTAACGGCTCTTAAGGCGAGACAAAAAGACTCGCGATTTGGTACCAGACGTAGGATATCGTCCGCAACACGCGATCCGTTCAACGATAGGACGGTCTTCTCGTCAATATTCTTCAGAAGCGATCCGTCGCTCAGATCCAGGTCTTGAGGAATGTTGTTGAGAGCGAGTTTGGCGAACACAACATCTACTTCTATGCCCTCTATCTTAGTCTTAATGACGGGAACGAAGGCCTGTCTGACGGCGCGAACGTATTCACAGTTTGGGATCTGAGACAACATCTTCGGGAAAGTGTCGAAAAAGTCCGAGCGCTGGACATGTCTCGGCGCCACCACAAGAGTGTCAATGTCTGCCCCTTTCGTGTGAACGCCCAACCGATACGAACCAAACGTGAATATCTTGCCGGCCATGAGTTGAGCGCTTTGTTTGGGCATCTTCTTGGCCGACACCTCTCGGACCCACTTCTGGACGATTTGGTTGAGTCTCGACAACACATTCTTCCGGCGCTCCGTTTCGGCCGCGCTTTCAAACAAACCGTACGAACGAAGACATGACTCCAACTGACGACTGGCCCAAAGATCACTGCCATTCGGCCCACACGTCGAGATCGGGGCAGTTGTGCCCGAAGTGGACGCCAACACTCGCTGTCCACCCATTACTCAATACAAACACAAGTATTGCTGTAAAACAAGTTTATGACAATCGCTGCAAACAATTGACTCAAATCTCTATCATTTGTATTGTTTTTCCTAACCCTTAAAAACCCCTTTAGGTAGACATCAAATACATTGACATTAACTCAATATCGTGTAGTCGTAGAGATTTTGGTAGAGATTACTAATCCTATCATAATCTGAGATTACCATTCATTATGAATAGACTTTTATCACTTAAACCAAACTTTTATCAAGTTATTTAATTTATTTTAAGTATTTAAATCATATTTAAAAGCGTCGATAAATGGGTAAAAGTGTGAAAATAAGGTCTAAACATAATACAGTATTATGGAAATATGTGATCGAAATGAATGCTATAATAAGTGACATTGAATTGTAATATAAAACACATAAAATTATCTAATTGTGACTTTAAATGCAATTAAATGATTGAAATGTAAAGTATTTAATACTTTTACAACTTTTAAATGTTAAAAGTTTTGAATTCTTGGTTTGAATGCAATTCAATATATGCGCCAAAAGTGTGTGAAAACGTGTTTCAGTCAACCATTGGCTGAGAGAGCGATGGACTCAAAGATGGCCAACACTTGTGCCAACGCTATGACAACAACACACCAATTGATCCCATTTTAAGACATCCAACACTATATCTGTGATAAACTGTGTTCACAACCACTACCGCAACGCCTATCACCTGAAGCGGATCCGTGCAATCCATGGCCGACAAAGACATGATGTGTTAGGCTTTTGGTGGACACGAAATGTACGAAAAGGTGAGACAATAGACAACACATTCACACAAACTCTTCACACGTAAACACTTCCACACATTTAGCCCTTTAATTACCACTCATTTTGTTTATGGCTTTGATTTGTTGTATTTGTTTTGTTTAATGCAAACAATGTTTGTGTGATTTGTGTTTTGTTATCCGTTTTAATGTCTTGTCGTTGGGATTGAATCGATGGCCAAATCTGTGTCAAACATTTGATCCCATTTTTTTGGTGTGAAAATAATGTGTTTGTATTTGTTTTGTGTTTCTCTCATCTCTTTATTATTTGGTATTTAAATGTGTTTAACGTTTTGATTGTAATCACAATTTGTAGGCAAATATTTGGTCCATAATTACATCAAATGAATGAATGGTTTGATTGATTGAAAGCATTAAAAAACTTCTGCTTTTCTGGATGTTTGATATAATGCGGGCTTTGATCGCAATATATCGGTTCACTATAGACTCAGACAAACAGTACACTATATGTTATGTAATACCATGTAATAATGGTTTAGTTATGATAAAAACTAAAAGTTTATATTTAATTAGTAGTGAAACAAATGAATTGAGAAAATAATGTCTGTTTCTGTTGAGAGAGAGAAAAGGCCTGTATTTTGTCATTGAATACACGCAGCAATTGATGCCAACATTTAATTGTCTATTCATTTTGTTTTAATAATATTTGTCAATCACTTAAAGCTGTTTGAATGGTCCACACAATCGGCTAATTATAGTTTATTATAATCTCATTAAATGGTATTTAATATGAATCTATTTGTTATCTAATGAGTTGTTAAGCGATTGGTTGAGAAATACCTGTATTATTGAGAAATATGAATATATATGTGATATTTAGCGTACAATTTGTGTGTATAATAGTGTTTGTAATCACATAATGAGGGTATTTGTCATCTTATTTAGTCCCGCTATCACTGGTTCTGTAGTGATAATCAATTAGTCTTATAATTGGAGGTCAAAGTACTCGACATTCACTTGAATTTAACAATCAATTCAGACCTTCACTTATGTTAATGTGAAATATTGTGTTCAGTTTTTTGCGATGATTTTTTTGCAACAATTAATTAAGTTCTGAACAAATGTTTTTTGGGGTAATTATTATTATGTTTTTGATGTTTATTTCCTATCATTTATTATTAACTTTTTTTGTTGTTTAAATATTTGATTATTTTGTTTGCTGTGATCTTTATTTGCCATCATTTTGTGCCCGTTTTCCGGCGAAGAATGCATTTTTGTATTCATTTTTTGTGTTGAAAACATTTTTCATGTTTTGTGGAAATTACCGAAACTCGCGATTAATTTACACTAATATCTCAGTTTTGAAGGATTTAGTGATTAATTCATATATCAAATGAAAGTATTTTTTACTGTAAATAAAGACTATTAGCGTTTGATTTGAGACGAGTTTTCACTTAATTTCAAGTTTGTTTCTCTCATGGCTTTGAACTGAAGAAAATTTACTTTTTTTGAATTTAATTTGATTAATAGCTAATAATGTTATACGAAATACACTTCTTAAGGATCTGTATGTCTGTGAGGGTTGGGATGAACACAAGTAGTGATGTATTCCTATGTCTATAACACTCTCCTAATAGTGAACTCTTTCTTAATTTTGTTGTACGAGAGGTTTGAATTTGATCTATGGTTTAATCCCTACCCCCATAGCCCTCACTCTCTCGCTCTCCACTTACCCCTTAAGTCAATGAATTGGTAATAGTTTTGTTACTGAAAGCCAAATGTGAAGCAAATTATGTTAAAATTTTTAATGCTATTAATGTTTAGATAAAATGAATTTTTTGAATGATTTATTTGAGACAATAATTAATTGATTTAATGAAAGCTTTAAAGTGTTGGCCGATTTGAAAGTTGAAATTTTTATTAAGTTTTGACTTAAGTTTTAAATGTTTTTTGAAAATATGATTTATAATTATAATTTGCTAATGATTTTGGTTTTAAATTGTAATTAAATTTTATGGCAATTAACAGACAAAATGTGCGAAAATGTGATTAATATTGAAATATGTGTGAAATGTTAACTGAAAATGTTTAGAAGAGATATAGAATTTTGTTTGTAATTATATAGCTATTAGTGTACTGTATATAGTGTTCAGATAAATAGTTTGCACAAATGTATTGATATGTAATATGAAAAAGTTATGTCTATTCTCGAGATCTTGAAATCATATCCTTTAATGAGAGACTGTATGAGAAGATAAGCAAATTGTATGAAAGAGCCGTTCAGCCCCTCATCGATGTGTGTGTTATTAGTAGATATTGAATGGCAATTATGGCTCTGACAGTATGTTATCGCTATAAATGCACTGACGTTTCTGAGTAACAGAAAGGGATGTCTGATCCCAACTGATTAACAACAATACCATTTACAGGAAACCAAATTCTAGGCCTTTAAAAGGTGAACACCATTTCCATTGAGTTTCCATTTGCCATGTATTCTCCCATCTCTTCACTTCTCTAAATGTTTGTCTCTAATTGTTTTCTCTTCACTAAAACACAATTGTTTTTACCAAACGGTTAATGCATTTAAGAAATGAGATGTGAATTAAATGCAAACATTAACTAACGATTAGAGTGGATGAGAGTGCAGTCGAAGACAAGTCCATCATTGGGACGCACGCTTGCATTACATGATCGCGAGCTGCCCAGTGAAGGGCTGTTCTTCCACTGACACCATCGCCATTACACTCTATGTTACCATCAATTAATCGCCCAATGGATCCCATGAAGTAAGACCACAAGTTGTGCCCAAAAAACTGCTCCCGTTTACATCCACTTCTTTCACACATCTGCCCTTTAAATGTCATTTTTAACCCATATTTTGTGTTTTATGTACTCTTATGTGCAGATAATGTCTCGGAATGAGAGCAATATCGAGGACTGCGAGTGGTATTGGGGAGACATATCTCGAGACGAGGCGCACGAGAAGCTGAGAGATACCAAAGACGGTACTTTCCTCGTGAGGAACGCCTCCGACAAGAGTTCGGGCGAATACACGCTTACACTGCGAAAAGACAGTACAAACAAATTGATAAAAATATGTCACAAAAGTCAAATGTACGGCTTCTCCGAACCGCTGAGGTTTGCATCGGTGGCCGAACTCATCAATTACTACCGAAAGGAATCTCTGTCTCAATACAACCAAACACTAAACGTCAGACTTTTATACCCGATCTCAAGGTTTAATCAAACGGAGACAGACATCGAGACGAGTGATATCTCGAACGTAAGCTCCAAACTGAATGAAATCAACAATGAGTTCACCAGAAAGACCGAAATGTACGACCAGTACAACGACGACTACAACCGAACCGCTCAAACCATTCAAATGCAGAAACAGGCCATTGAATCCTATAACGAGTGCATCAAAATGTTTGAGAAACAGTTGGAAGTGAACACTAAGCTCCAGAACGAATCGCTCGCCCACGAGATCAGCTCAATGCAAGACCACTACCAGAAGTTAGTCCTCAAACTGAATGCTTTGATCGAAAACCGAACCAATTTAGAGAAGGAATTGAAGACTTCAAAGGCTTACCACAAACTCGTGGATCAGGAAATGAATTGCATTAAACCAATGCTCCAACAGTTGGGCAAACAGAGGACTATTTACCAAAGACTGTTGGAGACGAATAACGGCGGAGCGCTTCCGCACCACAACGACAGCGCGTGGTTTATACGCGACTGCAAACGAGAAGACGCCGAACACCTGCTCCGCGATCGACGCGACGGCACTTTCCTCATCAGAAACAGCCGAACCTCCGGTCAGTTCGCGCTCTCCATCATGAATGAGGGCAAAGTATGTCATTGTCTTATTTACCATAAGGACACTGGATTTGGTTTCGCCGAACCATTCAATATCTATCCAACTCTCGTCAGTCTTGTTCTTCATTACGCGCAGACATCGCTTGAAGAGCACAACGATTTACTTCACACGACACTCGCTTATCCTGTTTTCGCAAATACTGTCAGTCCTGTAAATACTAGTAATGGAAAGTAACCGTCACTTCCATCAGTCTTTTAGTTGTATTTTTTTGTTATTTTCGATCAAATTTTGATTTTATTCAAAATCTGTTTTGTTTTTCCTGTGAAATAAATTCTAAATGATATTTTAAATTGAATTTTAATAATGTTTTTATCGTAAAACAAATAAATATATATTGATAAATGAAAACGCGTTTAAAATTCCTAATAAAATATACTGTTTTTACTTATAAATTGACAGAAAACTGTTATTCAATTGAAACGCCGGTTTAGGGTATAAGAGCTGTTGGCGACAATCCGTTGGGTGTAATCCGTTTTGGGAAGTAAAGTAAAAATAAAAAATAATTATTCACTTTTGAGTTGAAAATTTTTGTCGCGTTTTTTTCTCTCTCTTCTCCGCTAGAAATATATAACTGAAGCCATAATTTAAGAGCCGTTTAATAGTCAATAATTAAATGTAATGTTTTTGCTGTTTTGTTAGTTAAGGCAAAAGCAAACGTCTTCTCCGTTGAACTTGATTTTCGTGCTTAATATCGACTTTGGATTCGAGATAAATGTATAATAAATAAAACAAAAACGAAAGCAAAGCACAAACAAAAACCAAAAATTAATGATTTATAATGACTTGTTATCAGACGTTAGGATTTTATACTCTCTTTTTTTGCACATAAAACATGAATTGATTATAATTTTTTAGGAAATTAATTCTCTTCTCTCGAAAGTTGTCTGAATCTGTGATTACTTTCTCATAATTAAGATATTTTTAGTATAGAAAAGGAGAGACAAAAAAGAGTAAAACTGTTTTTATATTCAATTCTAATATGTTTTTTGTTATCAAATAACTAAACATTTCCTCAATTAACTGAATATTCAAAATAGCGATCGTTTTGTTTCGTTCTCTTCTTCTCTTCAAAATCCCTTTAATACCAAAACAAGTCTTTAATAATAAAAATATTATTATATTATACGAGAGATGAGGAGTGAAGACAGTAATTGAATCCTCTATTCCGGGGGTTATATTTGATACACAATTTGAATAATATTCATGACATGAGTTTGTAATACGACGCCAAACATCTTAAATACGAGTTATGGTCCCAACCATTGCCTACCATTCCTACCATTGCCTATCATTCCTCAACTTATAATTTCTCTGAGTTTAGCCCTCCCTTATAACCAACTGCACCGTCAGCTCTGGTATGATTGATCCCAACCTGAGCTCAATTGCGTTTACAATGAAAATTGAAAAGTAATGGTAATTTAGTTTTTGTTAAGAGATATGTTTCTTGTATTTAAATTCCGAAACTATTCCTTGCGATGCATTACGACTGCATATCAATGGTTCGCAAACGCAATGAGTTTTTTCTCTTTCTCTCTGAATCTCATTGAATAATTCCCACTAAAATGTGAATACTTTCCTAATGTTTGGATGATTTATAGGCTTTCATGTAATCTAATGGTGAGAAAGAACACCAAATAATTGAAGCCTCACTTCCAGTCCCTCTCATTACACCTAAATATATATCCCATATAACGATACATAAGAGTATTACAACATTACATAAGAGTTTTTACTTTTTTCTCCAAATGATGTTTGATTTTGATTATTAAACACACTATTAATCAAAGAGATCTTTAAATTATATTTTATATATTGATTCGTTTGATTAGATCTCAAAAATTTTGATTATCTTTTCATTCATATTTAGGAGCGTTTAGGTTCTCTCTCTCTCTCTCTCTCTCTCAAAAAAAAAACATTACTTCTAAACTATTTGTTTTTCTAAATACGAGTTTATGTCTAAATGTCTGCTAATATACCGGAGTTTTATTTTTGTGCGATGAAAACTTGTTGCATGAGATTAGACATCAAAATAATATACAGTATTAATAGTCAATTATTGTATTATTTACTGAATATTAAAGTTTTTGAATAATTCAATGGCCAAAAGATTGCATAAAATAACCATTGATTTACTGGAAAATACATCTCAAGAGCCCGAAAAAACAATTCACTTTTACTTTGTTTTTATGTTTAATTTTAATTTATAACACATTAAATATTTTGATTATAACCTGCGCTTAGATTATAAGAAATATTGTTATGAAAAATAAATAAATAATCTCTGAAAATGTTTCTCCGCTTGAATATTGTAAATACAGTACAAAAAACACATCTTTCAAAACATTGCTGAACTTTAATTACATGATCGGCCAGTTATTCATACCATACCTTCACTTCTCTGCCCCATAACGATACCCGAAATGCCAAACATATATTATAATAAATATAAATAAAATATTTTTTTCAAAAGAGATTATGTTTTTGTGAAAATAATCTGTTGTAAAGAAAGCGAGAGAGAGAGAGAGAGAGAGAGAGAGAGAGAGAGAGAGAGAGAGAACCTAAACGCTCCTAAATATGATATTTTGATGTCTAATCTCATGCAACAAGTTTTCATCGCACAAAAATAAAACTCCGGTATATTAGCAGACATTTAGACATAAACTCGTATTTAGAAAAACAAATAGTTTAGAAGTAATGTTTTTTTTTGAGAGAGAGAGAGAGAGAGAGAGAGAATGGCATTTCTTAAGCGCTTTTCTCATTTGAAATATTCATTTACAATTCAGTGGAAAAAATCTTTGTTCAATAATTTGTTTTTATTTTCAGCGAATATTAAATTTATTAATATTTTTATGTTAAAAGAGATCAGATATTTGTTTGACTCTAAAAATAAAGTCAAATCTGACGGAAACTGAAGCCCTTTTTGGAAATCAGATAAAAATTAATCGAAAATTTGTATCTTATTTTTGATGAGAAGCGTTGGGAATGACTGAAAGTAATGTGAAAAACGAAAACCAAGAAAGCAAAAGATGAAGAGTTTTATACTGTTTAACATTAAGTACTGTTTGACAGAAATATTTTCATTGGGAAAAGTAAAAAATATTTTCACATAAAAGTTAATAAATCGCCGTTATTTAATCATAATAATAGTGATAAACATTTGAATTAATGGCTCACAAATTGGTTTCAAATAAAAATATTTTCGTAAAAAGTGAATTAAGGGGTAGTTTTCATAATTTTCTTTTTCTTTAAATCGCTATAAAAACCCATTAATGAGTGTTTTAAAGATCAATGTCTTCAACGTTGACATTGAATTGTAGTAATATTTAATATTTATATGAATATTCATTCACTAATATTTTCCATAAAGCGCTTAAACACAGAATTGCGATCAGAAAATGATTATTAAAAACAAATCAGTCATTTTAGCGACAATTATAAATGGATTAACTCTTCATTTCGTTTTGTTATCGTAGAAAGTATTTTATTGTTATATATTTTTTCCGTTTCGTGGATAATATTTTTGTGAAACAATAACCCGAATGCATGTCTCAACACAACTGCAATAATTATTAGGTATTCAGTATTCAGTAGTGAGTATTTGTATATGACTTCAAATTGGAAGTGCATTCAAATTATAGATATTAGCCATCAATGGTTGGGAAAGTTGTTTAGGGCTTAAGTTTACTTAACTTGTGTGTGATATAAGGGGTGAGTGAAACATACAAATGGTTATAGTTTTCGCTTTACTCAACCAAATAAAAGAAATACATTTGAAAACTTCAAACTTATTATTCCTATCGAATACTACAATAATTTTTGGGAAAAACAATAAAATTCATAATTTATAATAAAATATATTTACGATTATAACTCAAAATAAGCATAAACTATGTATTATATGCCGAAAAACACTAATGGTTTAAGTATTTAATAAGATAATAATTATCCGACAAAAATCTCTACCCATAATGTAATAAATATTTCAAAAATTGCATTTAAAACTTCTATCCATTCAATAATTTAAGGATTAATTAAAGTGATTAAACAAATACTTATTATTAGTGAAAGTATACCCAAAACAATAAAAAACAACATAACGTTTGAAATTTATTGTTAGGAAGAAATAATTTTTGTTATTTATATTAATAAATCCTTTTAATACTAAAGACCAGAGACTTAAAGGTAAAGAAACTGAAAGGAATGAAATCTTGGACTAAAAATAGCGAACTCTTAATAAAAGGCAATGAAAAGCAAAATTCATAGCAAAAGAATGTTTTATTGAATTCTTAATGTCTTTACACTAATTGATGTTTGAATAGCAGAAAAAAGAGAGAAATGTTTTTTATCAAAAGGAAAAGTTTATAATATTTATAATATTCATGTATTGATGTTTTGTTTCATTAAGATTTCATATTTCGTCTCAAAAGTCAATATTTATAGCAGAGGTGGAGATCACAAGCGCTGATCACAAGAATTTAAGGGATCGGTGAGCAGGAAGTTTGCCATTTCAGCACTCGATGTCTTATACAAGTGATGTTTAAACACAACAATCAAATTGATGACAGACATCACAATTGGATTGATGTTTACATATATTTTGAAATGCTTTGAATAATTGACTCGTATTTACAACTCTTATCGACTTTAACTCTTAAAATAATGTAATTCTTGTGTTAAGTCTTCAAAAGAGAACTTGAAATCTGAGGCCAAAGAGGAGATGAAAGAGAAAGAAGAAAGAGTTTAAAAAGATTTGAGAGGTTTGAGAGGGTCTTAGAGGGATATGATATGTCTTAGAGGGCTATGATATGTCTTATTTAAGATTTATGAGTGAAACCAGATTTTGGGCTATTTATGAGATCTTTATCGAAATGGATTCATATATTATGTATATTTGGTCTGAAAATAAAGAGTAAAAGTGACTCTAAATAATAATTATAAAATGTTTTCATAGCCTTTCCACAGCTATTCCTAACCAGAAAATATTCCTCACCAAAAATAATAATTAAATTTCACTGCATTTTTTAGCATTACTACTCTTTTTCTCTCTCTTTCTCTTCTCTCTACATCTTTCTATACTCTCCTTTTCGATCGGACGGCTCTGCGAGCGATAAAAAAGTTTATGAAATTATAGCTCAAGAGCTTTTGAATGACACCAAAATTGATTCGCAAAATGTAAACCAATTTCTCAAGAGATGACATACAGTAAGAGAAAATGCATAAGTCTTTGAATAGTTGTGGCAAATCAGTCAAGAACTGGTAATTTCGATGATTGCAAACTGAACTCGAGTTCAAGTATTCTTTCTTCGAGTAATAATTTTGTGGGCCTTTTAATGAGATCTCTTGACATG